TTATTACTAGCCTGTGAAGAGTTAGTTTGTACATATTATGAAAAATAAATCCAGTAGCCGGTTGGAATGTAGGAGAGTTAATACATTGTATTGTAGCCGGTAATGATGAATTACTAGCAAGCTTCAGTGAGTAATTAGTATTGATAAAACACGTTGATACATTTCTCTTAATATAATGAATGGTTTTATTTGACAATGACAAAACTGTGTCTTCGTGTAGTGTAAGCTCACCATTACACAAAAGCTGCTCCAACTTGTTTGGTTCAGTTACATTCACTTCATGACAAGACGTTTCCACAAAAGAGACAAAAAGAAATAAAATGAAAAAATACATTTTAACAGTCACAAACACAATTTGTTACACCATTTATAGACTTATAGCTTTTACTGTTGGGAAAATCATTGCATTGATCATCTCTTCATTTACAATAACATGTTTAATGGCTATAGCTATAATAAAGGGAATTTTTAATAATCAGCTATCAATTTTATTTTCAGAATGAGCTCTCAAGATAATACATTCAAGATAAAACAGTTACAACTTTGAGTCTTGTTTATAAAACAACTTTTTTGCACTTTCTGTTTCAAATAAGTTTGATAACCAAACTTATAAAATAAACTTCCTATTGCAACGGTACGTTTAGTTCTGCGGTTATGGCTAGAGCTATTGCTATTACTTTAATTATCGTATCAGTTGTTTGTCTAACAAATTCAATATTTGTCACTGACAAACATCAATTGGATTTGCTGCTCTGCCAAGAGAAATTTTACCTCAGTGATAATACTATAATATTTCTCTTCACTAACATAACTCATGAAATTACAAGCCAAAAGCAATGCGTTGTTAATGTAGCTCAATCATTTGTCATTACCAGCCAGAGTCCAACAAAATGTGCTGTCATACAATGTTTTCCAGCTAGACAAACCAACAGTGGGTTTGTCTTTAACTCGGTATCAAGTCGTTCATCCTTTTATCTGGAAAGAGTTCAGTTTATAAATTGTGGAGCAAATCTTACTCTCCTCAGTGAAGCAGAATTGAACTTAATCAATTTAACAAAATCATATTATTTTACATCACACCATGCAGCAGTCCTGATACTCTCACAATTATACTATGTGTCTCTGCATAATGTTACCATTTCAAAATATTTTGGATTTGCTATGATAGCACATAACCTCTATAATGGATCTTTTCATTCTATTGAAGTAAGAGAGTCACTAAATTGGTTAATCTCACAACACACTGGTCATAGCATTGGTGATGGAGCTCTGATATTGTATCAACAACAACTGTTTTATCCTAAACATGAGCAGTATTCACTATCAATTGTCAAAAGTCTATTTGCCTTGAATTATGTAATAGCCCCACCAATTAGCTGCAATGATAGCAAATCTCTTTATGATTCTTTTGAAAATTATGAAGGCCCAGTTATTAATGCCGGAGGACTCACTATATTGTATCTGCAGTGCCAAATACCAGCACAAGTGACAATATCTCAAAGCAACTTCTCTAGTAACTTTGGCATTACTGCAGTGCTAATCATATATCAAAATGCTCACCTTCAATCTCAAACACTAATCAATGGCAATACACTTTTTGAGACACACGAAATTTTGCATTCATGTAGTGGTGGAGTTTTATCTTCAATTGTGTCATTTGGTAAAGATTCATGTCCAATGCAACAAGGCCATCATTTTGTCCCTATTTTTATTGATAATGCTACTTTCAGTAATAATGGAAGAAATGGGATATCAAAAAACGGAGCAGTCTCCATTAATACAATCAATGGTGCATCCACTCCAATTCATTTTCACTTTCTTCATGTCACTTTTGAATTCAATTATGCACATAGTGGAGGGTCATGTATTAATGCCAAGGCTTTTAAAAGCAGCAATGTTGAACTTATTCTAGAGTCAATGCAGGTTTACAATAACTCATCGCCATTGCCAGGCATTTATGACAAAAATTTTTACCACTTACCACCAGTATTTAATGTATGGGATTTTTACATGATTATTATAAATGGTTCAAGTCGCAATCCTGGAAAGTTTTATAACAACTTTGGAACAGTTTTTAATATACTTCGATCAGATGTTACACTTAGCGGCTATTTGAAATTCAACAAAAACTTCGGCATCAATGGAGGCGTCATTACGCTGCTAGGCCCCAATTGCATTTATCTTGATAGTCAAGGCCTCAATGCAATATTTTTTGACAACAAAGGACAAACATTAGGTGGGGCAATAAATGCTGACACTGGAAATGTATACAATAAAGGAAAATGCACTTTTCAAATTACTGGCAATAATTTAGGAAAGATTGCAAATATTAGTATACTGCTAATTGGGAACACTGCATCAATAGCTGGAAATTCAGTATACACTACAAGTGCATATGAATGCTTTTTGGGTAATAAATCTTTAAGCAATAACCAACTGAAAAAATACTATGAAAATATTTTTCATTGTTCTTCAATGAAAAAATTCATATCAGCCAATGCCATAACTATTACAACATGCAACGCTCAGAAAACTTATTTTGCTTATCCAGGTCAGGCATTTAGTATACCAATGAGAGCAAGCGATGCACTGAATAACTCAGCTTATGCTGTTGTAACTTTCTCAGCTGTTCAATCTTCTTATGCTGGGCAAAAAAGAGTAAATTGGTTTTTTGCCAAAAGCGAAACAGTTCAAGTGATACAGGAACTCCCTTTTGATCAATGCACAAATATCAGTGTCACTGTTCATACCACTGACATTAGCACTATTGGCATTTTGGCATTAAAAGGAATATTTACCTTCTTTTCTCTCTGATGAATGGTGATAGCTTGCTTCGAATCAATGTTCTTTTATATCGTTGCCCAATTGGGTTTACATTAGATAGTGTCACAGGAGTTTGTGTTTGCTCAAGTATTATTTATCAGCTTTCAAGTCATCCGAAATTCAAGCCTCAGTGTAACATCAGTACCCAAAGTTTTAGCAGGCCATTTTCATCATCATGGGCTGGAAACATTAATAAAAAGGGAGAATTAACACTGGCTGTTAGTTCTTCATGCTACAAAAGCTATTGCAACTCTGATTCAAAGGCAGACTTATTCATCCTCAATAGCACAGGGTCATATATTCAAAATTCTCATACTCATTATACTGAAACCATGTGCAGGGATTTTCGTAATGGAACATTATGTGGTCAGTGCCAAGAGGGATATAGTGTAGTAATTGGATCAACTGAATGTAAAAAGTGTAACAATATGTCTTTGTTCATTATATTTGCCTACATAATAGCAGGACCTCTCTTTATTTATTTTATATTTGCTTTTAAACTAACTCTTACTACTGGAACACTAAATGGAGTCATATTCTTTGCCCAAGCTACTCTGGCTGGTGTCATTCAGTATCTCAGCAATCAGCCATCTTCTGTAGTCAAACACTGCATTAAATTCTTCCTGTCTAGCATAAATTTGAGACTCAGTTTTCCTCTATGTCTTTATGATGGGATGACAGAATTGCTGAAGTCAGGGTTTCTTTTACTCTTTCCAATATATCTTTTGGCAATAGTTGTTTGCCTCATTGTCATCAGTCAATACTCAGTAAGACTCTCAAACAAAATAGCGGGTTCATCAGTGCAAGTGTTGGTCACAGTTGTGCACACCTCCTTCACTAATCTGCTAGCTTCAATAATATACGTATTTACACCAGCAACTATTTATACCAAAGATGGATCCTATACTGTATGGTATTATGATGGAACAGTAGATTATGCAAGCAAAGGTCATATAATTTTGATGACAGTGACTTCGGTAATAATATTCACACTAATCCTTCCATATCTGCTCATTCTTCTACTTCCAAAATCATTGAGGCGCCATAGAAAGTTAAACGAATGGAGTAGGCCAATATTGGAATCAATTTATGCACCGTATAAGCAAGGAAGGCATTATTGGTTTGTTGGGCGACTGCTGATGCTTATACTTATGTACTTGTTGTATGCTGCTATACCTTATTCTCTCATGATTAATATGGCTTTTGGATTTCTGGTGGTCTTTTTTGTAATCTTTCAGACAGTGTTTAACCCATACATAAATAAATGGAACAATGCTCTTGATTTTTGGCTAATGATCAACCTCTCAGCTCTTTTCTTTATCCTCGGCAGTCAGCACTTATGGCAAGGTGTATATCCTATAATAATCCTACTGCTGTACATTTTGACATTTGCTATAGTAATTACTATCCATATATTTATAGTCTCCAAAAAGATGAAAAAAATCAAGCAGAGGCTCAGTATCTTTCAGTCTAGTGTCATTGCTAGTTGGTACAATAAAAGTAACACTAACAACAGAGAACAATCAGAACATGTTCAAGACACTTACTACAGGTCATGCAACAGATACCGAGAACCATTAATTAGTCCATCAAGAAGCCATTAAATTTGTTATTGTATATTATTTGATTTTTAAATTTTTGGCAGATAAAGCAATGCTGTATTCATTAGATCTTAAGACCATTACATCAGAGTCAAGCTAAAATCAGCAGTCTATGTACAAATAAAATTCATTTTTATAACTTAACAATTTGAAAATAATAATTGCCTCAAATACATAGAGTAAAAAGTTGGAGCAGACCACAGATAGACAAACTTAAATTGGCAGTAAAAATAAAGAATATTGACAGTAAAAAAAAAACAGAAGAATGTAAAAACTTAAGGGGCTTCTCCTTATTGCCACACCCTAACATATGTGTACATGATTCACCAGTCAGGGCTCCACCTTATTGCCACACCCTAACATATGTGTACATGATTCACCAGTCAGGGCTCCACCTTATTGCCACACCCTAACATATGTGTACATGATTCACCAGTCAGGGCTTCGCCTTATTGCCACACCCTAACATATGTGTACATGATTCACCAGTCAGGGCTTCGCCTTATTGCCACACCCTAACATATGTGTACATGATTCACCAGTTAGGGCTTCACCCATTAATATTGTGTGCACGTAGCTAAAACAGAATTGTTGTCAATGAGTGGAATTTCACTGTTAATATAATATGACTTACATGTAAATCATCAGAAAGGACAAAGACAATTTGAAGTTAAAATTATTGTACATGCAGTCAGCAATTAAAATTATAAGACAGTTGTTCCTACTCTATCCCAATACATTTTTTAATTATGCTACAAACAATGTCTGGTTTCTCAAGCATTGGTAAATGAGCAGCATCAGAGATAACGTGAAGCCTTTCTTCACTCACACCGTATTGCACACATAGTTCTTGAGTACTTGAAACAGGAAAAAATCCATCACTTTCCCCAATGATGAAATCAACTTTGATATCGTCACCAATCCCCTCCTTCCCTTCCTGTAACCAATGGGTCCAAGACTCAGTGTTAGAGCAGTCAGCTCCTATGACTTTCATCATATACATTCTATTGTTGTTAGAGATACTGTTTTCAAAAGCAATTAGATCAGGACTTGTTTGAGGAGCAAAAAGTTTAGCATTGGAAGATGATCTTGCTAAAGGTCTCAACCACTCTATTAATAAAGATATACACACATGTAAGTGAGCTGACAATACTGACTAATGGGCCTATAGTTATAATATGATGAATCAAAATAAGCACACAATAAATTAAATTGAATATTATAGTTTACTACTCCTCGTGCTACTATGTTAGTCACTATATTTTAATCTGATATTAGCTCTTGTGCATGCATAGATTCTAATTTTATAGCAATTCCTTAAAAAGCCAAAGAGTAAAAGACAGTAAAGACAAGCATATAGCAATGTGTTATAGATAGTTATACTTAGCAATAGGATTACCGTATATCTGGTAATTTTCATAGGAGAAAATTTTCAGACAGAAAAAAATCATGTATTTTTATTTTCGCACAGTGGTTCCTGTCCGAAAATTAACAACATATGACATTTTAAAGATCTTATAAAGGATCCCACAGAGCATCTCTGCTTGAGAAGCTACCAAGCTTATTAGACTGTCTGCCAACTGCTGTAGGAGACTAGGAGAGATACTTTAATTGGAAGAAACAAAGCAGCGCCATTTTGTGATGATAGTGCCATGTGTCTTGACAATGCACGTAGTATCTGCATGCAAAACTAACGCATGAATAAATTAATTTTCATGAATTTTAATTTCGCACAAAGCCATGCATCCGAAAATTAAATACAGACGAAAATTTCCAGATATACGGTAGGTCACACGTCATAGTTTATGTGCATCTGTTCTGTATTTACATGGGTGTAAAAAGATGTACATGTATTTCAAGTTTAGGGTATTTCACTTTATTTCATGTTAGTTCACTTATCTATAATCACCACAGATCAGGGCATCAGGCACATGTATGTTCAACACCATCCTTGAATGGATTTTTGTAAAATCAAAAAACAGATATGTACATGTATACAGTATATGCATAAATCCTTTAAATCACAGGTTTTGCATAATAACTTTATTAGCAGTACATGTACATACATTGTGTACATACCTAGTGCAAATGATGGTAGCATTGAAAGAGTAGAGGCTGATGATCCAACAGGGCAATTCACTCCAATAGATATAAAGACGCACCCTTGCACAACTCCATGAATATTCTCACTCCTCAAACGTTTCAGTAGCCTCATTGAATGAATGACGCCATAACAGTGAGACACAATGTAGTTTTCTGATTTCTTATATTTCATGAATATCTCATAGGCATCTTGAAAATGCTAGAAATACAATTAGAGTATTCATCGATAAATATCCAGCAAAATAATAAACTTTTGCATGCACAACATCAAAATAATAAACTTAAAGCTACTAAATGTATCGTTTGTTGTTTCAATAACAAAAAAAAACAAAATACTCTCCCTTCTGTTAGTACAAGTATAGGACACTCTCCCTTACTGTTATATGTATGTACGGTTTACAGTTATTCAAACTAACTTCTTCTTCAGTGTATAAGTTTGGTTGATTTGGAGCTTTACTATCACCATGTCCTAAAAAATCCACAGCAACAACATCCGATCTAAAAGATACAATAATAATGAGATACAACACATGTATCCATGATACATGAATTATAAGTACATGTAAGGTGTTTATAAATTTTAATACGAAATACAATTGATCATGTACATGTTATAGCAATGCATGTGTCTGTGTATAATAATTAATAAATATCACATGTGCATGTACATGTACATAAAATGAGTATATGGATTAGGGAACTTTCTCATCAGATAAAGCCTGCTCATGAGAATGGAAGGAATAACTAGGATGATGGCATAACATGAGGAGAAGGCACATTTAAGGCACATAATGAGTAATAAATCTACAAATATAGGACAGGAATAGTCTATGATAAGACCATTCCGAATTGATTCATTACTTCTCATTTCCGGCTAACATAAATAATTCTTCGGTATCAAATTACTTGATTCAAGGATGATTATCCCCATTTTTGCTTAATTAGGACAATCAAAAGTGAGTCCCACTAAGGTGAGATGAGTTTGTTAGTCTGTACACATACATGTATATACATGTTTCATAATGGCAAAAATATAAATTAGTAAGTGACTCATAAAATTTTTTAGGAAGGACAAAAACTGCAACGTCATAATGATGTTAATAGAATAGACTATCCCCCTGTATTTACTTAAGCTATGCATGTGACATACACTAACTTGTCTTTTAAGGCTCTAATTTGATGCTTAAACTGACAAGCTCGCCCTCCTCCTCCATGAAAAAAGAACACACAGCGAGAGGAACTGGAATCAGTAGCAATAATTCTCAGTGACTTCCCTCTGATGGCTTCAATATTGTAACCAAACTCAGCTCTTTCTTCCTCCAGTGGACTCAACGTCATGGCTAAGTTGAACAAACTTTCCGTACACGTCAGGTTGATTTCCGTAATCTGAAAATTATCCGTTTCGTAATTCATACCATAGACCTAGTCTACTTCATAGCAAGGGGGCCCGTGTCACTTGCATTAGCCTGTAGTAGTCTAATCGAAATTTAATCCCAAGGATTGGTTGGATTAAAGCTCCAAAATTTATCACATCAAGAAATCAAGGCCTTCAAACTTACCAGATCAAGGGATCAAGCAGTTATTTTCCGAATCAAAATTTTTGATCCCGGTCGCAAACATCAGTACAGGATATGCAAGTGACACCCCCTTGCATAGCTAACTTCCGTGGACGAGCTATCATAATGGAAGCTCTAGATCTACCCAATGATGGTCAGTCCTCTTCTTCTCGTCACTGCCATGCATTTATTTTATTACCTATAGGCTTAGAAATAAAGATTCGCTCTCAAGCTTTAGCTAGAGAAGTAACTACTCATAGTAGATCAAGGTTTTGCTGGCCACATAGCCATCAACCAGTTATCTTGCCATGGTGCCCCCTGGTGACAATGGATAGTGGCACTCCTCCACCTTCTACTCCATACATGCTACTTTACAAGACAGAAGGGGAAAGTATCGACATGATATATGATAAATACAAAAATGATCCTCATCTTGAAGTTCTAGTTATTATTCCTACAAGGCCGGAGGCCACTAGTGAACCATCACCATCGAAGTCATTGCCTCAGGAGCTTTCATTTATAATTTCTGTTATTCCAAGAAAATACAAAAATGTTGTTATGTCATTAGTTCATGATAGAAAAGATCTTGAAGCCACAGTATCAGGGTTTTTAGAACAAAGAAGTGAAAGTAAGTTATAACTGGTACTTATTTGTATAAAGATATTATACCCTATACGTGGAAATTATTGAGGGGATAAGTTTTCGCAAAACGAGTGGTCATTTGTGAAATTAAACCATGCAAAAATTTATCTCAGTGAGTACATGGGTGTACGTATAATTAGAATTTATTACGGTATTGTTGCAATTGTAGTGGTGGCTCATTATTATTCATGCATAGTAATTAATTAATTTTAACTCTTCCACTTTAAAACAATTCGTAAAAATTTGGCCTCGCAAAACGCAAATTCATCATTTGCGACAATTTATCCCTCGAAAATTTCCACGTATAAGGTATGTAATTGTGCATTCATGCATAGAATATTTCATAATCATAATTATATAATCTACATGTATGTGTTGTATATTAAGGAGCAGTATTTTCCTTAACACACAGTGCACACTTTTCTTAAAAAGGAACAATGGGCCAGCTTATAAGCAAATCTTATTATTAAATTAAAAACGTGAAACGATATATTCAGAACAAAAAAGCCAGCTAGTGTAAGACTGTAAGGCCCCAAATAATAATAATAATAATAATAATAATGATAAAAGTATTAATGAATGTATATGTATATACATTTGTGGATTTAGCAGGAGATTTTCATTGAGTGCTAATTTTTGTTTGTTTCATTGGCCAAAAGTTTCAATGAAAATTTTAGACAATGAAAAATTGAAAATGAAATAGGTGTGACTGGGTTAATGATTAATAATTCATGTTAATCAATGAAAATAAGTCAACGATAGGGCCTGCTTGGACAGTCATAGGGTTCTGCCTTTTAAATTTATGTACACCATACTAGTGGACTGCAATATCATGCTTTATGTATGGTTGTTAGTATTATTGCATGGCTGGTCTAAGTGATGAAATGGTTGGTTTATTTGTTGAGGTGGTTGTCCTGTCTACCCCCAACCGCCATAGGCAGAACTATGGATAGACAATAAAATTATTGTGGCAATGAATATTTCCTGCTATACAGTAATTGCCATGTGCCAATTTTGTGAAATTAAATTCTGTAAAAAATTAAATGCTACATCTGGACCCATCCAGGACTTAAGCTCAGTATTCAAGCTATGATGGACAAGTTTATGCCCTCAAAATTGAAACCCTATGTTATACAATAATCAATGGATTACTTTTATTATTTTTAGTTGGTTATGCTTTGCTACCTTCATATCCTGAAAGCCGTCATACTTTATTCAAGGCACTGAAATATGTCCTTCAGAATGGTATTGTTGTCTCTTTGTCTGAAAGAATTCCTAAAATCTGTCCAGCAGACAAGCCTCTCCTTTTATACCTTTTGGAAACTATTCATGACTATTACTCAAGCATTGAGGTAATGCAAGAAGTGCTTTGTTTTAATCTTTTGTACTAGAAGAAAACATTAAAGGGGCGAGCCTAAGCAAGCTATAGCTTATGTGCTGCATGATCTACATGTATGAGCAAGCAAAGCAATTGCACAAGTCTATAAATCTTGTTGCAGTCATCTTGCTTAGATTTTCTCTATTGCTTCATCACTTAAACAGCAATTAAAACAGTTATTTTACTTGTAGTTAGTAGAAGTAGTCACTGAACAGATCATATTTGAAGAAGATTGTTATCTGCTTTGTTACCTAGGCTTACTGCTAGAGAAGAAGCATCATCTAGAATAGATCTCATGATGCATGCATGCATGCAGCTAGCTAATGGAGCTTTGCTCACTTGCATTGATTTAACTTATCATAGTCCTTTATATCAGAGGAAAAGACTGCATATCTACTTTCCAAATCTTTCTTCTAAGTTTTTGGATAGCAGTCTTGCTGACCGTTTGCTGCAAATATGCACAGACTTGCTGATAGCTGCATTTTATCCATTGTGACCACACCAACTTTTAATGAAGATTAGGCTATTTAACTTTAATAATAGTTAGACGACCCTATGCCTGTACATAGAAACAAAAAAAAAGATGTTTTTTGCCTTAATGGGGCTCGCTAGCTCAGGCTCACCCCAATCATCATAATCGTGCACATGCTAGACTACATGTACAATTTATACATATATAAATAGTAAGCCCATTGAATGTATTTACTGCTATCCTAGCTGGTAAAGGAATAGTTGAGAGAATTTTGTCAAAAAAGGTACATTTATTTTTTATATAATAATTCCAGAAAACTTAATTTTCTCTAAAATTTTTTTTATTCATTTATTATAGTCTGAAATTTATGTGGTACCGGTATATCTAAAGCAAGAACTAATTTTTAGTCTACTCCTTCAACATCCTGTTTATTATGATTCTTTTTTTCCAAAGGATTTTATATTTTTTTTTAATATTGTTGATCTAGAAAGGTAAGTCTTACATGGCATGTTTTATATTTATTTTATGGTTAATACTTAACATTGTATACACAGTTTCTAAGCTTTTAGTACCATACCAATATATGGTAATATTTGACAAATTTGTTCTTATAAAGTAATTTGAGAATTATCAAGCACGTTGAAACAATGGTTATTGGTTATTTTTTTACAGAACCACCAATTGCCAATATAATTCAAATAATTTTTTAAGCACTAGCTCCTACAAGTTGTAAACTACCTGCAAGTGGATTGAATTTTGTCGTCACAAGTGTATTTTTATGTCAGCATACATGTATATAAAGTGTCAACCCTAGTTATTTGTAACTCAGTTTAGTAGCATTATCATTATTTATGTGGGTAGATTCATCTAGCTTGAACATTACTCTTAGTAAACTTAATTGTACTGTAGCAAATTTTATTATTTTGTCCCTGTTAATAAAATTCATCATAATTTTATAATTCAGTTTAACTTTTAGGAAGCTAAATATAACAGTAATATTTTCACTAGGCATGCTACACAAACATTTGGCTGAACTAAAATTTGCAATTGTTTGTTGATCTTTTCTACTTTTTTTATAAATGAACTTTTAAAATTAAATTGACTTCATTCATCATTCTCATGATACTATTTTATTTTAGAGATCAATTTGAGAGATTACTTTACTCTCTTATGCAGGAATTTTTACAGCTTTGACTATGCATTGGAATCTTTTATGATGAAATGTCTACAACACTTGTTACTAGTTCCTGTTGAAACTATAAATAACCAACTGAGACTCTTTGTGAAGCAGTAGGTTTTCTTTAATGTTTTGCAGTCTGATATAATTTCTTAATCAGTACTTGCATGCCATAATTGTCATTATTAAATTTACAAAAGTAAATTTCTGGTATATGTATAATGGTATATGGTTCGTCAAAAAATAGTACCGTAGCCTGCTACTTTATTCACACCACCTAACATGAAGTGTTTGGCTA